CTCTTTCCTTTCCAGGTTCTTCCAGTTCTTTTAACATGTCAAACTCTGGAGATTTGTTCATGAGCGTGCAGTCTCTCAATGGGGATTCTTACCAAGGGGCCCAGGTTGGAGCCAACGTGCAGTCACAGGTAGGGACCCATCCAATGTACTGCCAGTGAATGCATTAGTGTTGGAGGAGCCTTTGATTGTATTGGCACTTCTCCCTCCCGTCCGAAAAGAGCAAATCTCAACCAGCACAAACGAACCAACCAACACTTAAAAAAGGCAAACCAAACCAAAAAAACCAACCAACCAACCAACCAAAAAAAGCAACAGCAACAACCACCAAAAAAAAACCAATCCAAAAGAAACCAAAACCAAACACCCAACCAAACCAACAACCATGGTCTTGAGGAGACTTGCCCACACTTTGTGAATGCATTTGGCTCTGGCTTGATAGTCGTACTAGGAGGAGAGGAGGTTCAGGAGAACAGGCACGAACTCAAACGAAAGCAGCTGAGGTTTAGGTTCTGCTTGCTTTATTCTTCCAAGGGAAGGGGCCAGATGTTCGGACTGGTGTCTCATTTTGCAAGGCTTCCACTTACTCCTTTGATGCCAAACCAGGTGTCTACTGAAAGGCGACAAATGCTCAAATAAACAGCTAGATTTTTTTTATTTTTTTAATTCAAAGCCACCCCTCATCATGTCCCCAACTCCCCAAAGCACAGGCACTCACACCATCCATGTACACACCAGCAAGACAGAGCAAAGGAGCTTTGAGCAGCATCACTGAAACTTCAACCCATGCTTTGGGCAAAAAGAAAGTATTTAAAATAGCCAGGAACTCACTCAGATCTCCCACCTCCCATCCGATGTCCAGATGTGCCACGAGTCCACGCTCTGGCATCTAAGGCTCTGTACCGTATTGAAAGACGACAGCCACTCTGACACTTCTGCATCGGGCAAGGAGAGCTCTCTAAAGCTGAGGTTGCTCCCCTCGCAGTGCTGGACACAGAGCAAGTGTGCCGTCTGTGGGCAACGAGATGTGCTCGCCGCGCGTACTGCTGCTGGGGCTGGGCTGGGGGAGTGGAGGGAGAGGAATGGGGCGTCTGGAGGAGAGCTGCTGGTGCTTTTGCCATGGTAGGTATATTCCCTTTCTGGGCCCTCTGAAATGAAGGCGCTCGGCTGACTCCAAGGTTCTTCTTCCATTGCCATGAGCTTTCGAGTGCTTGGGGCCAATGGGTGGAAGGGGGTAGGGGTAGGAATGTGGGTCCTCGAACGTGATGGTGGAGCTGGTGGCAGTGATGTGCTCCAGGAGGTCCCACCCCATGCTTGCCACACTGTTCTCCCTCTCCAGTCTTTTTGTTGCAAGACTTGGGACCAAGGACAGCGTGATGGGGCCGCTGGGGCAGGTGGGGGTTGGTGAGGGAGGCAGGAGCAGTCCTCTGGCTCGGCTCTCACCACAGGACCAACTGCGGTTCTCTTTTCTGCCTCTAACTATATACCTCTATTATTATTATTATTATTGTTATTATTATTATTATTAC